GCCCGTAGTTCTGCTTTAAAGGAGAACTATGAGATGAGTGATTTCCACTCACCTCATAGTTCTAAGCCGACCTGTGACAATGAAACTGTCACAGGTCGGCTCAGTAGATCGGGAGGTGAGGGAACACATACCGGTGTTCGCTCACCTCTCGATCCTGTCACGGCTCTCTGCCGTGACAGGGGGAGGGGCTGGATTCCCCTCTCCCCGCTCCGATCTGCCAGCGCTGACTGCCTCTAGATAGGCAGAGCCAGCTGTCACTCACGCAGCTGGGCGGATCCCGTCATCTACGTCGGGATCGGCTCCAGGTGCGGCGTCTCAGGTATACTGAGCTTAGGGTGACGGGAGGACGCTAGTTTGTGTCCTCCTGTTACCCTAAGGAGAACTATGGGGAAAAACACTGACCCCATAGTTCTCCTTTAACAATTACAGCACGTCTAACTTTTGTTTTCACTAGTTTTTGTCAGTGGCGCTGGATCCTAAAAAATATCCTGCTGCCTCCTGAAATGGATGGATTCGTTTGTCCACCCCTGCATTACTGAAGGTTGGGTTTAAGTCAGGGGTGGACAAATAAATACGGAACTCAGGAGCCAACAGATATTTGTTAGGAGCCAGCTCTACTGACAACTAGAGGAAACCTCCAAAGTCAGGAAGCATTGGCTACCTGCCTCCTGAGATTCCTCCAGGCCTGGTATAAGTGCCTTCATGTTCTAGAATCAAGAACTATGAAGGAAGGCTTTTTTAATATAAATTAAAGAAAAATAAATAAATTGAGGGTCCTTTGTGCATATGTTCATGTTAGAACGTATAGTTTCTGCAATGTGCTCAAATAAAGTGAGTTCCAAGTCTACAATTCCTAACTTTTCCCACTAGAACCCTAAGGGCCCATTCACACCACCTACAGACCAGGCCAGATTGTTTCTGGACCTAAAATGCAGCCCAATGCTTCCCTATGCTCTTCTTGGCCTCATTTCACACCATAGCAGTCAGTTCCAGACCAGACGAATACTGTGTGTCACATTTTGTCTGGTCTGGAACGCATCGGATGGAGCACAAACGCTGGTTTGGATGATCTCATCACCCCTGGACTTCCTGCTTCTGTGGAGAGAGAGATTTGTGAAGATAGGAACCATGATGGCTGAAGTGGACACCAAATTCTTTGTAGAACTTGTGGAAGCCTGCCCAGAGCTGTATATCCTGGCTATCTGTAGGTCTTTGAAGAGGTTCCCCAGCAAGTCCTAAAATGGAACGCGTCAAGAATACAGCAAAAACACGGCAAAACGCAACACAGTGCATTCCAGATCTGGTCTAGATCTGGGCCGGAAAATGGTGTGAACCTGCCCTACGAATATCAGATTGTGTTTAATCTGAGCAGATGATTGGACAAAGAAAAACCTGAATTAGGTACCTGCAGTGTCCACATGTACCCCTGCACTTACAGCGATTAGGAGCGTACAGTAAATGGTGGTGCTCGCAGTGATGATCACAGATGGTGCCGTGCAATACTAAGTCTTGATGTAAATGAAGATCACCAGCACTCGATGGACACTTGTAAATTCTAGTTTATTTGAAAAGGTGCGTCATGTGCAAAGACCAATGTTTTGGGGCCACGCAGGGTCCCTTCATCAGGGTGACAGTGACAAAGGTGTATAGCAAATAGACTCCTATATATACACCTTTGTCACTATGTCAACCTAATGAAGGGACCCCGTGTGGCCCAGAAACATTGGTCTTTGCACGTGACGCACCTTTTCAAATAAACAAGAATTTACAAGTGTCCATCGAGTGCTGGTGATCTTCACTTACATCAAGACTTGTTATTGCACGGTGCCAGTCGCGATGTCCAATCGTCTGCTCAGATTAAACACAATCTGATATAGGTACCTGGTCATTTTGCTTCCAGGAATCTTCTAGGACAGCCTATGATCCCTGATAGCACCGGTGTCTTTAATATGCCAATAAAACATACTCTGGATAAAAGCTGTCCTAGTTCAGACGAGTAAGAACATTATTACACAAGACAAGGGAGGGAATAATAATGACATGTACTGTACTGAGGCTGCAGCAGAGGCATCATATACTCTTAGAAAGTGCATTACATTGGGTATGATACGATTAACTATAATGTGGCTGGATATTATTTCATGGCACAGCTACCCTAAAACACGAATACATTGGTGCGCACCTCATCAAGATAAAGTGAATACTTTGACTTGTTTTAGCAATGCGTGTGGTAAGCTCAGTGCAATTATTTACCTTACAAATCACTATGCATTGTGCTTCCAGCTAAGAATCCAAATACCCCATCAATCCCTCTCCCCCCTGCGATAAAGCAGCTCTATGTACCATCTCTTGCAGTGTCTTGCATTAGCTGCAATTGCTGCATGCTACACTTGCCAAGTAGCAATAGCTATTTAATGATTGTGACAGATCACAGCAGCCATAGACAACCTGTCATCTGCTGATGGACCACGAGCCCCCGCACACGCATCTAATCTGAGCAATAAGCCGGGTATCCTGGGTCTTCAACTTCAAGTCACTCCTGCCAGCTGTTTAATAAAACACTGTGCCCCACTCTTTGCTGACCGAGCTGCTGATGATTGTCACTTGTGTTCATTACCTATACGTAGGTTCACATAGAAGCTCAGACAACATGACAACAGTAAGCTGCAGCTGTATGACAAAGGAACTGCTGGTGGGTGAGAGGCCTCCAATGAAGAACAATGACTACTAGAACAAACTACGCTCACAGCTGTCAGGTGCTACTGCCACTCCCAACAGAAGCAGCCAGAAGCAATGAATAGATTTCCCTGTGTCCCAACTGCTCCAATACATCATTCTGGCAAATAGAGGGTTAACCACCACTCACTCATATTTACCCTCCTGTCATTATAAAGTTCCAATACCTGTTTATTACACTAACTGTACCAGCTGTCAATCAAAACTTCAACATGCCCAGCTGCCAATCAGAGTCAACACTTCCAATACCCTACTCTCACCAACATCTTTCCTGTACCCACCTGACACTTATATACCCCCTGTGATCTGTAAACTCCCTCTCACCCGCCTGTCACCTGCATACGTCCTGCAACCACCTGTCACTCGTATATACTCCCTGCACCCCCTGTGATCTGTAAACTCCCTCTCACCCGCCTGTCACCTGCATACGTCCTGCAACCACCTGTCACTCGTATATACTCCCTGCACCCCCTGTGATCTGTAAACTCCCTCTCACCCGCCTGTCACCTGCATACGTCCTGCAACCACCTGTCACTCATATATACTCCCTGCACCCCCTGTGATCTGTAAACTCCCTTACACCCGCCTGTCACCTGCATACGTCCTGCAACCACCTGTTACTCGTATATACTCCCTGCACCCCCCTGCCACCTGCAACCACCTGTCACTCGTATATACTCCCTGCACCCCCCTGTGATCTGTAAACTCCCTTACACCCGCCTGTCACCTGCATACGTCCTGCAACCACCTGTCATCGTATATACTCCCTGCACCCCCCAGTGATCCGTAAACTCCCTTACACCCGCCTGTCACCTGCATACGTCCTGCAACCACCTGTTACTCGTATACACTCCCTGCACAGACCTGTCACACATATGTTCCTTACACTTATACACATACCTGCAACCACCTGTTACTTATAAACACCCACATGTCAGCAACACAGTTCATGCACTCAGCTGTCACGCACATCCACAATGTACCCACTTGAAGGTCAAATGCTGCCTGCATTCACCGGTCACCCATATGCTCCATACACCGTCCAGGCCTCCAAAATCCTCCCTGCACCCACATCCTCCATGCACCCTTCTGACCCCCAATATCCTCTATGCACACTTCGGACCCCACTATCCTCCATGCACCCTCCAGACACCCAATATTCTCCATGTAGCCAATTGCCACCATATCCTCCAATTACTCATATACTGGATGTGTCAACCACATCCTCCATGCACCCACTTGTCAACAACAAACTTCCCACACCCACCTGTTTTACCCATATCCTCCATGCACCCACCTTTCACTCACATGCTACATGCAGCCACCTGTCACCGATATCATCCCTGCACCCTCCGGGTCCCTAATATACTCCAGGCATGAACCCGTCACCTGCTTCCTCCATGCACCCATATCCTCCGTGCAACCGCCTGTCACCCCATATCCTCAGTGCAACCGCCTGTCACCCCATATCCTCAGTGCAACCGCCTGTCACCCCATATCCTCAGTGCAACCGCCTGTCACCCCATATCCTCCTCCTAGTGCAACCGCCTGTCACCCCATATCCTCAGTGCAACCGCCTGTCACCCCATATCCTCAGTGCAACCGCCTGTCACCCCATATCCTCAGTGCAACCGCCTGTCACCCCATATCCTCAGTGCAACCGCCTGTCACCCCATATCCTCAGTGCAACCGCCTGTCACCCCATATCCTCAGTGCAACCGCCTGTCACCCCATATCCTCAGTGCAACCGTCTGTCACCCCATATCCTCAGTGCAACCGCCTCTCACCCATATCCTCAGTGCACCCGCCTGTCACCCCATATCTTCCGTGCACCCGCCTGTCACCCCATATCTTCCGTGCACCCGCCTCTCACCCATATCCTCAGTGCACCTTCCTGTCCCCAAATATCCTCCAAGTTAGCATCTGTCACGCATATACTGCTCCCACCTGTTACCCATACCCTCCTTGTAACCCTTCTGTCACCCATATACTCCCCACACCCACTTCTACCAAGCACCTGCCTGCCACCCTTATCCTTCATGTACACTCCTGGCCTGCAATATCCTCCCTGCACCCACCTGTCACCCATATACACTATGCACCCACATCCTGCTGTCACCCATATCCTCTATGCACTCATAGCCTCCTGGCACCCATATCTTTCATGCACCCATACCTTCAAGTTACCCATATCCTCCTGTCACTCATATCTTCTGTGCACCCTCCTGTCACACACACACAGCTGTCACCGCTCCCTTCCTCACCAGACAGGTTCCTCCTCTTCTCCTTCGCCCTTCTCCCGTCGGTCCTCTCATAGAAGCCCAGGGTCTCCGCCGTGGCGGCTTTGTTCCCTCCATCCTCCTCTTTGTCCTCTCCGCTCACAGCCGCCGCGTCCGCCATCCCCAGCCGCGGCGGCAACTAGTGCAGAGCAGTGTCTACCAAACAGCGCACGTCATCACACAGCGCCACTCCAGGCTCAGGGTGGAGTGAACGCTGACGGCGCTTACAGAGGGGGCGGGGCCCGGAGTGCCTTGCAGCCATTTTGGATATGGTCAGCCTGCCTGGAGAATAATGACGTCACGTATTGCGTGAGGAGTTGTATGTGGGCTGCTCATCTGTCGTTTCTGTGTCTCTCTGGGGCCAGGAATGAAACATCTATCCTGGATTTGTTCTTTACATGAAAATAATGCTAATGTGCAGAAGGGGTTGAACTTCCAGAAGCTTTAGAATTTCTGAGTCACAATTGTAGTCTGCAAAGAAAGCTCATTTGTCAGGAAAGTCTATACAAGAGGCCCAATGAATATATTGATTATATATAATGATAGGAAATTGCTACATTGATATTTGTACTCAGCATGGAGAAATGTAAATGGTGTCTGTATAACAAGTAAAATAGCTTAGTGTATTGAGGGACATTTGATTGCTTTTATGTGTAAATAGTGTCTACATCATATGTAGAATATTTGATAAGTTAGTAGAACCTTCTACAATAAAAAACAATGGCACAGAAATTAATTGGAGCGATGGAATTCTGGAGATCGTTCATCCACATCTTGGAACGCTCCAGAGGCACATATGCAGTGTAAACAGGGAAAAAGCCGAGTCCTATTGGACCACATTCCTTCCTTCTAAAGAGATCATTTGGAGCTCCGGGGACCCATCAGACCAGGGATACCATTTCAGCTGGATGTAGTAGTGCAAGATGGTACAGCGCACTCAAGTCTGTGGCAGCCAAATGAAAAGAAGGGACAACGGGTAACAACCAGGAAGTGTTCATGTTATATTTGCATTGGCAGATGATCTACAGTCCAGTGGTTGGAAATCTGGTTAGAGGACTCTTCTCCGCCAGAGTGGAAAATGGAACTCTCTACCCTTAATGCAGTCTTTTACCCACTTTCAAAATCCATCACAGCTCTACATCCTGATGTGAAATCATCTTACATTCATTAGTTAAAGTGACACTAACTTCAGGAGTTAAATCTTAAAAAAATACATTCCAGTACATTAACTATTAATAAAAATGGATCTTATTTGTGTATCACTCGGCTGTAGATCCTCAAATCATCTCTGAATTGGTTCTGACACTGTCCTTCCTTCTGGAGGGTGGCTACTTTTGTTCCCCATGGTCCCTGTGTGTGTTGTAAAGTAACCACAACTCCAAGATTACTCCTGTGGTGGAATAAAATCTCAATAAAAATTATTAAACTAAACGCGAGATTGTAGTCCATCACAGGAGTAATCTTGGAGCAGTGGCTACTTTACAACACACACAGGGACCATGGGGAACAAAAGTAGCCACGCTCCAGAAGGAAGGACAGTGTCAGCACCAATTCAGAGATGATTTGAGGATGTACAGCTGAGTGATGCACAAATAAGATACATTGTTGTTAACAGTAAGGTACTTCAATGTATTTTTAAGATTTAGTTCCTGAGTTTAGTGTCACTTTAAAGAAATATGTTTTGCTTTTACTTATAATTACTGTTTTTCCACTTCCTATGAGCACTTGTGATGATGTCTTGGATTCCCGAATGCATCCTGGGAAGGGAAGATCACCAGTGCCTTCCTGGGAAATCTCATCTGTAAACTGCAAAATTTTGGGAGATCTCTGGGGAAAAGCATCCCCCCCCCCCCAAGATAATGTGCACAGTCATATGTTCCAGGAGGCAGATCCAGAGTTCCAGGAAGTAAAGGAAGATGGTTTCATCTGCCCTTAGTGAAAATGGCCACCTTGAGAGGAATGGGGAGGAAAAGAAAAATAAGGTATACAAAGAATATTAAGCCTGCATTTATATACTGTATATATGTATTTGTGTGCAGAATGCCATTACTAAACATTTCTAAAGGTGCCTTTGTTGTAAAGAAGATCTTTTTCTTAACCCTTGCAATGGGGCTACCCCTGCACCGCTAAGGTTAAAGGAGAACTATGGGGTTAGGGCTTTTCCCCATAGTTCTCCTTAGGGTAAAGGGAGGACACAAACTAGCGTCCTCCCGTCACCCTAAGCTCAGTATACCGCGAGCCACAGCTCGCGGTATACTGAGACGCTGCAGCTGAAGCGGATCCCGACAATTATGTCTGGATCCGCCCTGCTGCGTGAGTGACAGCTGGCTCTGCCTATCTAGAGGCAGAGCCAGCTGTACCCGCCCCGTCCGTTCCGCCAGTCAGCGCTGGCAGATCGTAGCGAGGAGAGGGGAATCCAGCCACTCCCCTGTCACGGCAGAGAGCTGTGACAGGATCGAGAAGTGAGCTAACGCCGGTATGTGTTCGCTCCCTTCCCGATCTACTGAGCCGACCTGTGACAGTCTCATTGTCACAGGTCGGCTAGAGCTAAAATAAAAAATGTATACTCACCTGAACCTCAGATCTGGTTGTCACGATTCACGGGATGTAAGCCCACAAGTGAACAGGTGGCACGGGATCCCCCAGAGCACAGGGTCTGAGGGCAGCCGATGTTCCGCCAGGGACCCCCTCAGGAAAGTTTGTACTTAGCTGTGTGCTGAACCCAGGTCCTGATCCTGGGTTTACTCTGCTTGTGTGTGGAGAGTTCACAGGAGACATAGAGGGAAGCGGCATCCCAGGCAGCTCTGGCAAAGAACAAGATGGACCAAGCAAACGGAAATCCAGAAAATTGGCTGAAGGTCAGGACGGGCAGCAAACAAATGTAATCAGGAGAACTAAGCCAAGTTGGTACACAAGCGATCAGTCCAGGGAAGTCAGGTCAGGAACAAACGCATTGATGGGCGCTCAGAAACAGAGTGTTGCTCAAGCACCCCAAAGCTGGTCTGAGCAGCATTTAAATAGTGAGAGAGATAGGAGCCAGGGCAAGAAGTAGCAGGAAGCAATGTATATTAACCATCAGGTGAAGCGGACGACATCCAAAGCTGATAACACAGTGCAGCAAGAGTAGAGCACATGCTTGTAGAACAAGAGGTACCATCAGACTCGCAGCAAAAAGGTAGAAAAAAAGGCAAACCTGTAAAAGCACAGATCAGCTCTGCAGCTGATCTGTGACGCTGGTTTGCTACTAAGGTGGTCTTTCCAGCGTCTCTCTTCCTCCACTGCAGCAATTTAAGGTCCCCTAGTCATCACATTCTATACACAGTTCATAGGACGTGAGGACGCTGAGGGACATGCAGCATTGAAGGAGAAAGGCTGGAGGGAGTGCTGTAAGAGCCAGCCAGCTCAGAGGATTTGGTGATTATAACTTTTTTATTTTTGTACCGAGACCAAAACAAGCACTTAACCCTTGCAGTGCGGGGGTAGTCCCACTGCAAGGGTTAATAAAAACATTCCCTTGAGTTCTTTAAGATAAAGGTAAAGTTCCTCTTTAGGCCTTCCAAGATAAATAGCGAGTATTCACTGGAAAATATCAGTCCAAGCAATTGACAGGGTCATAAATAAGGTACTCATACAGCTGGATCAGAAAGAAGAAGCCTACTCCTGCACCAATAAAATGTGGTATAATGACCCAAATAAACCCCTAGTCCTAGATTTTAAAACTATAGTGGCAGACAAGATTACAAAGAGGGCTGCAGCTGTGCCCCAGTTTATTCTGTGTTGATGAGTTTGGCAAACTGGACCCACAAGCAATCTGGACATTTGAAGCAGAAAGCCGCATATGAATAGGTTCAGCAAAGAATGCCCATGGCCGTGATAAAGACTGTATTAGAGAAAAGAGTGACAATAGCCATTGTAGAAGCATTCTTCTAGGAAAAGCAAGAGGTCTGCATAGGTTTAGCAGATTGCCTTTGTCAGTCTCCAGCCCCAGGAATCAATGAGGTATAGTGGTACTGCAGTGCTCACCTATTCAGGTTTTTTGATTGTTCAACGGACAAGTGCACAGATCAAGTCACATTTGTGTATAGCTGTTCCAGAAAGGTTCAGAATGATTATGGATTACACTTCAGCAGAGAAATGGTACAATAATGGGCCACAGACTCTAGACTGTGCTTGCTATGACAAATCCCATGCCATGGTCAGGCAGATGATTTGACTAAAAGATACAAGAGGCTATTGAGAGACCAGATATGCAAACTTATATCCACTGTGGTGTTGTGTGGCAATCCCACGGTAGAACTGGGGGTTGTAGTCACCAAGGACACTCAGCCAGAGGGGCTGAGCAGATGGCCCCTGCTGGGAAGAGGGACAGGTTGTGTCCAGGAGTCAGGTAGACTCCACCCAGAAGCCAGAGTGAAGCCAGGAGGCTGTGTATGTGTTGGAGGCTTGAAGGCTTGGAGAGCCAGAGAGAGCCAGAGAGAGCCAGGCACACAAGGTGTGTGGGTGAATTCAAAAGATGCTCAAAGGCACAGAATATCCAGGAAGAGATTCTGTTGAGGCAAACCGTCAGGTCCTGAGACACTGAACAGGATAACCTGTGAAGGGTGAGCTGATATGTACGCTGAAGAAAGCTATTTTATGTTGGATTTCCTTTTTCTGCCTTTGGAATTAATAAAAGACTGTCCTTTGTTCTGTGAAAATGACTTCATGACTGGTCCTTAAGCGCTCGCCATTTGTGCTAACCTCTCTAACATCACACCACATATACACTTAGGATATGGGATCCGATCCTTACACAGGCAGTTCTGTTGTAAAATATTAGGTCAATAGCCGAAAGCACACCATATGAGAGGTAGATGGTACCTGAGGCACAGATTCCAAAGCTGGAGTGCAGAATTCAGTATTTACGCAAGGTTCCTCAAAGAACAGTTCCTATCATACGCAAAATTACTGCTCTCTGTGGCATATAGACAATAAGTGAAAAAACAAACGCACAAGCCTATTTAGTAGTCTGGAGGAATTCTAGTGGGAAGGTTTATTGTTATATTTGCCTTGGCAGATGAGCTTCAAGACAGTGGTTGGAACTCTGGTTGGGTGACATTTCTCAGCTAGAGTGGAACATGGAGCTTTCTAACCTTGAGGGTACGTTAACACCAGATGCAGTGCGTTCCGGTCCGATTCTGGCCGGAACGCACTGTATGACATTGCGGTCGACTCACTTTGTTGTGGG